AGGCTGCAGCAAGGCTGTAGGCTCATTTTCCTCTCTTCAGCTCAAGACATGATTTTAAGGAACACCAGGATTATAAAGTGAAAAGATTGTGATTAAGACAGCCTGTGCAGATATTTAGATTTTCATAAGGCAGATAGAAAGAAAGCTTAAGCAGTAAGCCTTATGAATGATAACTCACTCACGAGATCATGTCATTTAAGACTGCAATGTAATACATGGGGGGTATGTGACAGATCTGCAGACAGTGCATTTTTCATTTCCAAATTTTTACTTGACTTTTATACTTTCCTGTACTTTGAACATAATTCTGACTTACCCACTCCGAATGCAAAAAGCAGCCTACCTGACCTACCACTGCACTGATATTGCCATCAGCAGGTTTTGAATTGTCACAGCGATGACAGAAGTCGTTCTCTGATCCTCAGGCACTGAAGACACTTTGAAATCACACTTTGCTGACCTGCTGGCCTTCTCTGATGAGATGACTGCCTCGTTAGGTGAACGGAGAGCACTGGATGTTGCATTGTTCATATTGACTTTCGTGACCCATTTGACACTGTCCCCTGTAATATTCTTATGGGTGACCTGTCAAAGTACAGGATGGATAAATGAATAGTGAAGTGGACTAAAATCTGGCCGATCTGGCTCAGAGGGTTGTGATTAGTGGCATGAAGTCCAGCTGGAGGCCAGTCACTAGCCATGTCCCCCAGGGGTTGATATGAGAGCCAATACATCTTCATTAATAGCCTGGACGATGGGACAGAGAGCAGCCTCAACAAGTCTGCAGAAGATACAAAGCTGGGAAGAGTGTTTGATAGATCAGAGGGACCTCAACAGGCTGGAGAAATGGGCAGAAAGGAACCTCATGAAGTTCAACAAAGGGAAATACCAAGTCCTGCCCCTGGGGAGTAGTAATCACAGGATAGGCTGAACAGCAGCTCTGCAGAAAAGGATCCGGGGTATCGTCATTAAGTGTTCATACAAAAATACATTGAAAAGCTACCTATGTTTGTCAGAGGTAAAAAAGGAAAAAAAAACTCAAGTATTTGAACAGTAACAAACAATATATAGATCTCCATTTCAGCAAACTGTCTGGAGGAAATATGTACATTCATGCTGATAGTACGATACTTATATGTTTAACTTTCATATCTGTGTGTATGTGCATTTCCTGATTTTATTTTATCCATCACATTCTTTCTTTTCCCACAAACAGGAAGTAACAATAAGGCCTTGTAATACTGGAAATTTTTTTACATGCCTAAGCCACAACTTAAGCTGTGAGTTTAAAGTGACCCATGTATACAAGCAAGATAATCCCTCAGCTCTGTGTGAAGATCTTCCTGAAAGGCTTTGTGTTCATTTTGGAGGTTTTTTTTTAGTTTAGCTTGTGTTTCTCAGGAAGATTTAGTGAAGGATAAATGATGCTAATGAAAGGCATTATTCACATTGTGAGG